AAATTAAGGGGAAAGATGTATAGGTTCTAACGTAATGACTAGAAAAACTTATTCTAAAAACGTTGCAGGTGCTTTTAGCATCACTCTGTTGTGGAACTCAATTTATTCCATGAAAACCCTTTTTATTATATTTATATTTAAAACATATCAGAATGTGGTTATTTTTTATCCAGTTTTTAGAGCTTTGGTAGGTTCAAAGAGCCACAGGTTGCAGACTACAGCCCCATACATAATAGTGCCACCACCATGTTTCACTGCAGGAAGAGCATATTCAGGATGACCTTTAGTCTCAGTTTTGCTTCACACATGGCGTTTTGTTCAATGTTTGATCAGAGCGCATTCCTCCATATGTTTTCTGCATCCTCTACATGACTTGTGGAAAACCTTACTGTACTTTCCTCCATAACAGCCAAATTTGATGACTAATATTTGTCCTGTCAACCTGACCTCGGCGCTGGATCTCTGCAGCTGGTTTAGAGTCGCCGGGGGCCTCTTAGCTGTCTTAATGACTAATGAGCTCTTTTCCTGTCTTGTCAGTTTTATGAACCAAACTTCTCCAGAGCTTTATCTCAGACCTGTTTGGTGTGTTTCTTGGTCTTCATGGTGATGTTTGTTCTCAAACAAACCTCTGAGGCCTTCACAGAATAGCTATTAAATATTAAAACACACATAGCCAGTGTAATTGGTTGCATTAGATTTTACTTAAAATGCTTCCATTTGCATCTCAATTGCTTCTAAAAACCAGTTTTTGAATTTACGTTTATGTTTCATGGCGCCTTTAATACGACTTGTTTTAAAGTCCAACACTAATCAGTAGGAACTGCCCAGATAGCTACATTGCAACATTAGTGGCATTCAGCCACTAAAGTTGCAACCCAAGCAGAGCTCCAGCAGGTTTGGTCAGCTGTTTTTACCGGTATATGTGCTGTACAATGGCTGCTGTACAAGCAGTTGTATAATTGCACATTTTTTGGCAGTCATTTTCACGTGCAAGTGTAAACGATAAGTTGTGGGTGATGCCAGCTTCAGCTTAATTGGATTTAAAGTGACAAGAGGCCTAAAACAGTTCATTCTGAAAGCAGATTAAAAGGCTGAACTAATCAGACAAAAATCACATTATTCAAGAATGATTTTGTGCAGGAAAAAGCAACAAACATGTTTTGCATCACACATATAACTATCCTAAAATGTTCTTTACGGGTGTCACAGTAAATGAAGAATATACAAACATGTGCCACACTTTTCAGATTTTATTGTCAAATTTTGAAATAATGTATTTCCTCTTTGAATTTGTACAATACTTTCATACTATGAAACCCGAAGGTTGGCTCTACTAAAACAGATACTGAATTCAATTCAATATGATCAATTTTAGGAAATAAATTAAACTTGGTTATGTACCTTTCAACAAAAATGACTTAGTTCTTGTTTTTATTGCTCAGAATTGAAAAAACAACGTTTTACTATTGACTGGTCAATAGATCTACAATAATTTACATCCATGTACAACAACAAAAAAAGACACTATTTAATTAAAGGATTGAAGCTGATTGGATCATTATTAGCTATATAATTTTTTTTATTTATTTTGCAAGTCCTTTTGACTTGACAATTTTGGCCCAAGTGACAAATAGTTTGGACGTCCCGCTCTAACAAGTTTCACTCCATGTTTGCTTCACAACATGATGCTGCCACCACCTTCACAGAAGGGATTTATGTAAACTGTAACTGACACACACAGTTTCACCTCTTAAGGATATGGGGGTTTAATATACAAATTCAGATTTTCAACTGAACTCTACCAGAAAATCTGAATAAGATAAAATGGCAGGTATAAATGTTAACTTGCCTTAACCTTCTTAGTTTTCCACCTGCAACTCACTCTCCAACTTCAGCGTGCCTAAAATAAGTAGGAACAGTTTTAGTTTTACATTCATGCCTTCTGGAAATCTGTGACGTTTTTCTAGTTTAGCTGCCTGTCGAGACAGAACGATTTTCCCCTTAAGGGCCTAAAAAAAAAAACCCTCAGCATGCCGCAGCAGCACACCTGTCAGGTGATCCCACTGGGTTTTGGGTTGAAATGTTAGCCTTAAGTCACCTCTCCTGCTCTGTGTGTAATGTTCCACGGAAACGTCGCTTCTCGGGACCTTAAAGCGGTCATTGCTAGGAATAAATTTGGTTTTAATACCACGTCTCCTCACTTCTCCGCTTTTCTTTCCACTGCAGGTCACAGTGGTGTGCTTTTCCCTCTCAGTGATAATGACCGTTTTTCCAAACTGAGCCTTTAAACACTTTGTTTCTGAAGCACAGTTTGGCTTTGGGAGGGATTTTAAAAATGCTAAAATGGATTTACGTCTCCTCGGCTCAGAGCTTTAACATGAATACCCCCTGCTTCGTTTCTCTTGTTCCACTACTGGAGATTTATTGTGTATAATGAATATATTATGCAACTCCTTGGCTCAGGGAGTCTGCTCACGTATTTTTTCCACTTTTTTTCTCACAGACTCTTCTCTCTCTGCTGCTCTTTGTAGGAATGCACAGATGGGTATCACTGGGACGCCCTTACTGAGCACTGCAAAGGTGAAACTCTGCACCTCCTTGAGCTCTCCGGATCCATTTTTAATCAGATTTCTGACTGAATGTCTTCCTGGCAGACATAAACGAGTGCGAGACCATTCCAGATGCCTGCAAAGGAGAGATGAAGTGCTTCAACCACTATGGCGGCTACCTGTGCCTCCCCCGCTCTGCATCGGTCATCCCCGCTCCGGAGCCCTCCATCACCCCCACCCCGGCCTTTAACCCCTGCCCTCTGGGCTACGAGCCGCATGGAGACAGCTGCGTGGGTAGGTGGCGGCCGCAGGATGAGCGATCGCTAAGCGAGTGTGTGTTGGTGGCCGCAGATTGCTGAGGGACAGGTGGCAGCGGCAGGCGTGAGGACAGGAGGCAGCAAGCTGGTGCGATTTCTGTGGGTGTGAGTGAGTGGGAGCCCGCAGGACAGGAATTTGGGAGATTTCACACGAGGACAGCTGCTGCGATTTTTTAGAAACTGACTTGCAGCTAGAAACCTGCTAGCACCGGAGGTGTTCGGCATGACTTGCATGAGACAGCAAGCATGACTCAACGTGGTATTCTCAGCTGCTGGGAGCAAGCGAGGCCAAACGCCGCAGCCTCGGCTTCGGCCGCCGGAGCACAGCTGCCGCGTTCGTTCACAATGAGTTTTAAAGTGGAAAATATTCTGCAAAAAATTTTATATATATATAAAATCATATTTTGCACATTTTTGAGCTTACATTTGTTTCTCATCTACTTCTAAAACGCTCAGACGCTTAAAAAAAACTATCCAGAAGTTTTTTCATTCAGCTAAAGTGTACAGTCAACTTTTTTGGGTTTCACATCAAGTTATAATGCTACTTCCTGAAATGCTGCTTTGATTCTTTAATGCATGTTTGAGAAATCCTTTAATCTCCATGGCAACTAATTGGATGTGCCAAACACCTGAGCAGACCATTCCCCGCTGCCTTCACAGAGATGAAGTTTCCCAGCTTCTAAGCTTCAAGACTCCTCCACTCAGCTCCTTTACACTAGCCAGCAGCAATTAGCAAAAACCTGTAGAAACTGAGCAGTTACTGAGCTCATGATAGGAGCCTTATTGTGATGACTACATGAAGCTGGAATTTCAGAAAGAGAAGGTGATTTCAAAGAGCCCAAATTTGAGGCTTTAAATTACAAAGTCAAATTTTACTGAAGTCACCTGAAGGTAATATAATTACTTGATTGTGCTATGAATGGTACTGTGTGGGTGGAAAACATTTAATACTGCCCCTTTAATGTTTTTTGGTGTCTAGAAAATGTGCCCTTTCAAACACCTCCCATTTGTTAAATCTCAACTGCACTGTTACCGAGCAACAGAAGCAGAGCCCAGCCCCTTGTCACTGCACAATCCATACCATTTGCTCGTTTGAACATGCCCAAAAAAGAAATACTTCTGAATCATTCTAAACATCTACATCAACAACATGTTTATTTATATCAATTAAAATACTGCAGGTGTGTGCAATTATTTCCTGAAAAAACTGTAAACCTACTATTTGTTTATCAGTACTAATACTAATAATACTTTTTTACTCTTGAATAATTTCTTGAATTACTACTTTTTACTTTTACTTGAAGTAGTGTCATTTTTACTTGAGTACAATTTTTGGGTACTTCAGCCACAACTGCTAAGACATTTGGACTACAACACACTGACACAGTTGGGGAGGGTATTCAAAGATTGTACTTAAGAGAACTTCAACTTAGTTTTATTCAAGTAAAAGTAGCTGTCCAAGAAATTACACAAGAGGAAAAAATTATTTGGTAAAAAGTCTGCTCAAGTAGAGTAAGCAATGAAATTCTGAACCATTTATTACTTAAGAATTACATACTCAAATATACCATAATAAAGTTGAGTGTAAATTTTTACATTACAAGGAATTTTAAGGCAAAAGAAAGATAAAAATTCAAGTCGGTTTCTTTCAAAATAAACCTTCTGAAACTTTAACAAAAACCTCAAGTGTGTATCTGTGTGGTGGATTTTTGGTTAAAACTTGTTTGCTTTTCATTCAGTGGCAGAAAATCTAGAATTTTTACTCAAGAAAGAGTAGAAATACTTCATAATAAAATTACTAAAGTAAAAGTAAAACATACAGGTTAATAAAAATACCCCTAAAAGTAAATTTTTTCAATGAAGTTATTTGAGTAAATGTAAAGAGTTGCTGCCTAACTGCCTTTAAAGTCCATCTCCGTTCTGCTTCTCCCACACAGATATCGATGAGTGTGAGCGAGACGAGCACGACTGCCAGCCCAGCCAGCAGTGCATCAACACGCTGGGCGCCTTCAACTGCCAGTGCCCCCGCGGCTACAGCAAGGTCGGCACGGAGTGCATCGGTGAGTCCATCTCCACATCACTTCCTGCTGTGCCGAGTAAACCCGTTAACCCTCTGACCCCCCGTGTTTCTCACCTCCAGACATAGACGAGTGCAGGTTCAGGTACTGCCAGCATCGCTGCGTCAACGTCCCCGGGTCCTTCTCCTGTCAGTGCGAGCCGGGCTTCCAGGTGGGAGGGAACAACCGATCCTGCGTCGGTGAGAGTCAATATTAATTCCTATTAAATCACCTCTAAGGCCACATTCACAATGCAGCCTGAAGGGACTTTTTTTTTTTTTTCTTTTTTTTTTTTTAAATCAAATCAGATATTTTTTACATGGTTGGTCACACTTCCAAATATACCCAACTTGTATATTATCTCCACTGTGGACGACCTGAAAGTGTCCCGCATGCGCAGTAGAGGGCGCAATACCGACACGCATAGAGAGCATAATCAGTGTTTTGCCAATCGCCAAAAAAAACAGCCCAGTGTTTGTGGAAGTAAATGTGGATGATAATGGCGGAGCTTATCTTACGATTTTGAAGTTATCAGACCAGAACTTTAACTTGATTCTCTTTATCATAGTGCCATACACACTATGTCACTCTTTATCATAGTACCATAGTGTAGACTTTGTGTTTTTGTGTTTCGTCCTGATACGTACTATTCTGCATATCATTACGCAAAATAGTGGCGTTTGTCGAATATCATTTATGTTCAGGTCGGTTGAATGCAACCTGGCCATTCAGATTCAGGTCAGATTTAAAATTTTAAAAATCAGATACGTAACCTGTGTTGTTCAGACTGTCATGAAAAGATTAGATATATCACACTAAGGCAAAAAAATAAAAATAAATAAATAAATAAAAATTGGAATTGCACCACTTCCAGGTGGGCTGCAATGTGAACGCAGCCTAAGTAAAAATACCATTAAAAATGTTCTTCTAACAAAAGGCAAAAGAATAAAAGTAAATCATTGGGTCTTTGCATATGCAATGCCTTTCAAACGCCACAGTTCTCCAATCAATCTATTGAGTTTATTTTAGCAACAAGGCAGTTCAAAGTGCTTTACATCACAAAAACACCAAAATAAAAAATCTTAGAAAACAGTAAACAATTGAAGCATTACATTTTGTCAAGTACACGAAAATTCTTATTAATGTTTCAATTATAATCTTTCAAATGCAACTCTAAACAGATAGTTTTTAGTTTTGATTTAAAGGAACTCAGTGTTTCATCTGTTTTACAGCAACATTAAAGCATTAAATGGTACATTGAAGCTAGAAACATTTGTGATTTACCAAAAAATAAATGTGAAGTGGAGGGAAAATGGAAGACATGAGATTTGTTTAATATAAGCTGATTAATTTTTGTTGCTTTTTCTACTTTGCAAAAAAGAAAAGACAAGTATTTTTTCAGTTTCTAGTGAAAATATCTTAGTACATTACATATAAGACAAAATTAACTTACAAAGAACTTTTCAGCAAGACAGTTTAAGTCAACAATTCCTTAATTTTGATTAAAAAGTATAGTTTCTTTCTTTGTTAAATATTCATCTTGCTTATTTGAAATGGTGACATTTATAGAAGAATGAACAACAAGGTGAAAATGTGACTTTTCTCACTAATTAGAGGCTAAATAATCCAAATTGTTGCTGTTAATTTTTTACTGCGAAACTTTATAAAGAGAACCCTTTGGTATCCTTCAGTCAATAATCTTCATTAAACATCTCTTTTGTAAAATGTTTCAAAAAACAAACATAAAAACTGTATTACCACTGTCATAGTAACTGCAGTCAGATGAAAAACCATCTATAATGAGAAAAACTGAAAGCCACTGAGATCACTAGTTTTCAACTGGACCGTTGAAGAATAATTGATAAAATATGTCTCTGCATGTTGCAAATCCTCTCTGTATCAACAATCAGTCTTATTTTAAAAATCTGCTCTCTTGAGTTTTGCTTCTTTGGCAGCAAAGTGCATTTTCCCAGGCAACAGCTCAGTTAGAAATCCTGGGTTTTAGACGCTTCAGTGCAGTAAATGTGCTGCTCGTTTTGTGTTTTCAGATGTAAATGAGTGTGAGATGGGCGCCCCCTGCTCTCAGCGGTGTTTCAACACCTACGGCACCTTCATGTGTCGCTGCGATCAGGGATACGAACTCGGGCCTGACGGGTTTACCTGCAACGGTAAGATTTATCCTCCATTCTCCCTGATTTATCTGTGGAAAGGCATCATAGCTGTTACTCAGCCTAAAGCCTCTTTAGCAATCGCGGGTCTAAAAGAGCAGCAAGGTGCATTAGCTCCCACTGTAGTGTAAAAAAATCAGGATTAAATTAGGATTTTACACATGAAATCCTGAGACATGACAGGCAAGTCTTTTAATAGCTAAAAACTACCGTTGTGTGCTAAGCTAACAGTCAATCACCGATGTCAAAGCAGTACGGAACATGACAGACTGACTTTGATACTAAAAAGAACAAATAAATGTCTTCATTAAGAAGTTATGCTTGTACTTTATTAACAGTTTATCGAATAAACCATTATTTTACCTTCTTACTTCCCGTTGCACGGAAGTCCTCTAATGGCGGTTGCATCAGTTGACTTTCTTTCCTGTGGAAAGTTCCTGAATTCCGGAAGTCCACGAAGCAACATGATTGGTCGATGGTTTAACACGTGTACTGTGTGTCCCGCTGTTTAATGACTCGGGCTCCGCCCCTATGCGGAAGTCGAGCAGTCCTCCGACAACCACACTGTTATTACGACAAACTAAAGATAGACTCAATGATTATCCTAATTTTTGAGTCTTTTTTTCCTTATAACCCTACACTGAGGCAAAAAGACGGCGGGCAATAAAATTCTGTAACTAGTCCTGCGTCAGGTCTGCAAGATTATTGGCGGGAAATAACAGAGAAATCAACGATAAAGCCAAAGAGGACAAATAAGGGACAAAAAAGTCTGATTGGATGCAAGTGTGAACGCTGCGTAATTACTTAAATAATACTGGCTTGTGAAAATCTGCTTTCAGGAAATGCTTAGAAATAAACAGTAGTATGAAACGGTGTTGAAATGCCAATATAGCAGATAGCGCAGTCTGTTTTCATTAGATTACATGATTAGATCTTTAGCATTGATATTTTAATTTAACTGAGTTGTGAGTCGTTAGCATAGAGCCCTGAGTCTTAGCATACATCATTATGACAAAAACTGGGATGTTCACTACCATTCAACTGGATGTGAGGTCGGCTTCATTTTTTGCATTATTCCAGACTCTTTTTTTTTGGTTTTGGAAATGTAATAAATTGTATTCCGTATGTTCCGTATGTTCTGGGTGACAGCTGTTGGCATTGGATATTATTTTCCTCAAAATCTCTCTGACTGCTGTATGTTTTCTATGATAGATACTGTCAATATTGTCAGAGTACTGTACTTGCTGATTGGTCAGTTGCTGATAAGTGCCCTGGAATGATTGAGGGAGGATTGCTCTACGTCAGCATGGTGTTAAAATAACACATTTGTTTTACAAGTGTATAGTACCCAAAAACTGCACTAAGAGTAGCACTATCTCAATATATTTTTGCTCAAGCAAGAGTAAAGAAGTATTTGGACAAAAAATCTACTGGAGTACTTAATAATGACATACCAAGATGGACCAAAATATAAAGTGATGTGGAAATTGTGGGTGTTTATTTTTAAATATTAAATGATTGATGATTTGATCAGTTACTCAGCACTTTTTACCAAATACATTTTTACTTGAGTATTTTCTTGGATGCCTACTTTTAAATTTTACTCCAGTAAAAATATGTTGAAGTGGTGTTACTCTGACTTGAGCACTATTTTAGTGAACTCTACCCACGTCTGGTTATATTCTACTCTGAGCATGCAGTGACAGTTTCAACAAGTAGCCTATGTAAAATAATATGTTTTATAAATTGCGTACTGCGTCTTTAATCCCCCAATCCGCCTCGTCAGACATCGATGAGTGCAGGTCCTCCAGTTACCACTGCCAGTTCCGCTGCGTCAACGAACCCGGGAAGTTCTCGTGTGTGTGCCCTGAGGGATACCAGCTGGTGGGCACCAGGATGTGCCAAGGTGAGTTTCTGAAACTAAAAAAAAAAAAAAAAAAAAGAAGAAGTAAAAAACATACAAACCTCACAAGCTGCTTTTTATGCTGCAGATATAAACGAATGCGAAACAGGCGCACATCAGTGCAGCGACACGCAGACGTGCGTCAACATCCACGGCCGCTACCAGTGTGTGGACGCCAACCGCTGCCAAGAGCCGTATGTCCACAACTCGGACAAGTGAGTGACGGCAAACACACTCACACACCTTGTCCTAATTAGAGAAGTATGCGCTGGCCATCGGCTCTGAACATAATCAGCGCCTGTGCCGAGCGCGGCGCAGACTGCTAAATTACACCAATTACTTTTTCCACGTTTGAGTCCAGCTTTACGAGCTTTTCTTTTGAACGTTCTCCAAAGCAATAAGAGGACTTTTACAGCTGAGAACAAGCTGGTGGAAATCACCTCCTGTCAACGTGCCACACAGGAGGGTGTAAACAGGGCTGCCCAAAGGGCGGCTTGGGGGCCATTTGTGGCACTTTGCAGGATTTCTGGCAGTCCCCAACAATCTGTTCTAAAATGGAGTAAATCAAAGTTGGGAATTATGACAATAAAGTTGCAATATTATGACTTTATTCTCAGAATTTTATTATTTAAATCTTTTTGCATTCATCTTCATTTTTAAGTAACTAGAACTGCAATTATTGACCAAATTTTACTCAGCCTCAATAAAAAAAATCAACCCTAATAAGTTAGGGTTGATTGTATATAATGTTTTATACTACTGTTAATTAAGAAAAAAGACATAAAATTAAAAGGACATCGTAACATTACAAGAGTAAGATTCTAATAACACAAGAGAACAAAATATTTGTAATTATAATAATAAAAGTAGTAATATGAGAATAAAAGCCCTAATAGAAAATATTGTGATTGTAATTGATAATATTGTGATTTTATTCTCATAATTTTATTGTTTTTATGTTCTTAGAATCGCCCTAATATTCCATCATTCAAATGCCATCTTTCAGGACCTTTGTTTGGTATCTACAACAATTTACTGATTATTTTTTACACAAATCTGACTATTTTTTTGATTTCAATAAAATTGTAATGTTTATAGATAATTATTGAGCAGTTAAAATAAAAAAAACTGCTCAATAATAGCAGTTTTAAAAATGTTGACACTGAACAGTTCCCTCATCTTTTGGGAGAACTTTACTCCCTCTGCTGGCTGATGGATGAACTGCAGGAACAATAATAAATGGTGTTTGTCTCCAGCCTCTGCGTTTGCCCGCACAGCAAGCCTGCCTGCAGAGACTTGCCTTACAGCGTGGTCCACCGGTACATGGCCATCACCTCGGAGCGCTCCGCCCCCTCAGACATATTCCTGATCCAGACCACCAACTTCCTGACCGGCTCCTTCAACACCTTCCGCATCCGGTCCGGAGACGACAACAGGGACTTTTACATCAGGGTGAGGACTCTGTGAGAAGAACCAGCTCTGTTAGGCCGCAGAACAAAAAAATACTGCTTAAAAATGAGCATCGGATTCCAAAAGTAACATTTAAAATCTGGGTCAGGTTGTAAAATGGGAAATAAAGAAAAATACCTTTTATTTTTTAATATATCTAATTAGCTTAGCTTATTTATTTCAAACATGTTCACAGTTCAAAAATGTTATATTTGGAAAGCATTGTGAAGGAGGGAGACAGACTGCCAACTTTCTTTTATGTCTTACTTTACACATTATTCTTTACTTTAAGGAAAAATAAAGAAAGCAAAACTGGAAATGTCTTAGTTTCAAAAGTAGGACATTTTCAGCTTTTTAATCTTGGAATGTAGCAAGTTTTTCTAGAATATTTCAGAAAGCAATCTCAAAATTTCAGAGATACTTGGCAGAAATTTATTCCTATTTTTTAAACAATTTTTTTGACATTTGGAGCTCAGAAATTGACTCTTTTTTTCCCCAAGAAATTTTTATCTCAAAATGTTTCTTTTGTAAATCTTTTAGAGCCCAGGTACACATTTTTTCAAGAAAATTTGTGAGATTAATCTAAAAATGTGAGTTTTTGGTGTAAATTTACTGTTTTTACTGCCTGCAGTGACCCTAGAACGCTGTGGTACAATTTTACCACCAGGTCTTAGGATATTCGGTGGTGTAAAGAAAAGTGGTTTCACTTTTCTTTTTACTCTAACTGAAGCCATGTTTGTGTAATCTGGAGCTCAAAGACACTTAAAACTAAAAACACATGACTATAATCATAAATTAGTTATTATAAAGTGTAGTAGAAACTAAAAGAGATGTTTTTAAAGAGCTGTTAAATGTTAGTTTAAATGTAATTATTTTTAACATTTTGTTTCTGTGCAATAAAAGATTGAAGGTTTTCCTTAATTAGATTTTATGCTGAATGTTTCAGAGAAGCTTCCAGTGACTGTGAAACTCTTCTGGTTTGTTTTTGTGTCGCCTCAGCAAACCAATAACTACAGCGCCATGCTGGTTCTGGCCCGGGCCGTGTCGGGCCCCAGAGAGTACACGTTGGACCTGGAGATGCTGTCGGGTTACCCGCTGGGCGGCCAGCGCAGCAGCTCCGTCCTCAGACTTGCCATCTTTGTTGGGCCGTACGCCTTCTGAAGCCGGAGCCGGGCGGGCGGACGCAGACCCAAACGGAGCTGCAGAACAGAAGTGATCGATCCAGTTCAGCCAGTCACTGTGATGTTCACCTTATCTGCCTTCTTGTACTCAGTGGTCCACAGAAAAACATCACGTTCCTGTCAAAACGCAGCAAACTCACCGTTGTACTGATTTTACCTTCTATTCTGACCGGGTCCAAATGACTGGATTTCTCATCAGTTTTAACAACATGTTAATGTTTTCAGTAACGGACCTCAGCACCACACTTCCTCCGCCGTTCATTATCTGTGTTTGTGCTACTTCTCTGTTGTTTCGGGGTTTGTCATGTTGTACTTTATATTTTTAAAGATTTGAACTCAAATAAAACAATACTCCTTATATCTGTGCGTCATAATGAGAATGCTTTCATTAAAACACTTCTGTTATTTTTTTGGTGGAACTAAATATATTAAAGTTATATGATCATTTGATCAATAACATAATCTCACCAACAAACATTTTTTAGTATTTTATTGAGATTTCTTGAATATGCAAACATAACGTAATGGAAAACTGGAAGTTTATTGCAGATCCAGCACAGCTAATAGGAAAAAACCTGATGTCTGATAATGAGTTCGAGTTTTAGTCAAAGCTGGAAAATTCTGACTTTAAATCCAAAGTCTACAACACTGACTCAGGGCTCCTGTAGATAAATTAAAAAGAGTAAATTTCCACCAAAAAATACGGAAATAAGGATATGAATTTCAGAAATAAAAAACCATGGAAAATTGCTCCAAAAAAACTGAAATTTTAAGATAAATCTCAAAAATGCTCTGAAAGAAAAAAAGACATTGAGGTTTAAAAAGATTAAAAATTTCACCGAAAACTTTAGAAATCTTCTAGAAAAGATTTCAGAATCTTAAAGTCAAAAATTGTTAAGAAAAAA